GGCTCTCGGGTGCTGGGGAGGGCCCAGCTCTGAGAATCCAGTAAAAGCGCCTTGAAAGGGTGTAAGAGCTGTGCTGTGAAGCGGCCGCTGTCACCGCGTGGATTAAGATTGTTGCTAAGATGTGTACGGCTGGGGGGTGACGGAGCAAACTTACATTATACACTGGAACGAAACAGCCAGAGAAGAAACAGACGGATTTCATGTTAGATTTCCACATGTCTAGTGGAAACTGTTTCAGTCAGTCATGGCAAAAAGAAAAGTTCAGCAGGTCACAGCGAATTTTCTCTCATCTTTTGAAGTGTCTTGTTCTAACTACCATTGGCCAGGATACACAAGTCTGTGTGGAATATTTGGTGTGTCCATGCACAGGTTTCACGAAATTATTAGGCTGAATATTAAAGAGAGAGTTCTGTATGGGAGAGCAGTTGTAGGTGGGAAAAAAAACATAGTAAGCACCTTTATTGGAAATGTGATGAAAGATATGCATTTTTTGCTCCATCCAAAGTTTTTTTCTGCTTTGTTTCAAATAGACCAACTATTTAGAAGACTTCAAGAAAAATAAGTTGTTCAGTGTAAGTATGTTACCACCTATGTATGAACTAGGAAGAAGCACAACTGCTGCAGCAGGGCATCTACTCAGCTGCTTACTTCTGTGGATGTAAAAACATTTCTACTTTGGTGGCATTAGTTTACTAGTAATAATACAATGTGGTTTTCCATCTCTTTGAGACCCTTGTCTATGAATATGGATAGTCCCTTGAACTGCAGAAATCATTAACTTTATTTGGCTCAAAAATTTTTATATTGCTATGATATTAGGTTGTTATCTTACTAGATGTTAAAAATAATGTTAAATAAATAATGTTAAATAATTTAGTCTTTTTTCTCTTAAATATTTTATGTCTACTATCTCTGTAAATAGTTTATTTATACTTACATGAGGCTTGTAACAGATCCTGAAGCTTTCAGTCAAGAGGTTATAGTTAGCAATCATTTATAAATCTCCCTCTCTAAGTTTGTATTTAGCTCATCATGAATTACTTAATCATGGTTGTTTTCAAAACATGGTTGCTTCATCCTTTCAGATTTTTGTGCTATGAACTATACAAACATGGGGTTTTTTTCTGAATTGTAACCAAAGTTTTTATTTGTAAGATTACTTTTTAATTGGTACTTGATATTTTTGATAATACAACTTCCTCACTTAAGATAGTAAAATTAAGAGCAAAATTTATGATGACTATTAATAATTATTAAGTTTTGGGGACTTTCTGGCACTTTCAGGATTACCATTGACTTGTTGGGCGCTTTTAGTCAGGAAAGCATGACTTGTTTGTTATGATATACTTTGTTATATCCAAATAATGGCTTCCCTTCATATTTTCAATGATGTTTAAATTGTGTTTCTTTTTAGTCTCTTAGTATTTAAGGTTCCTACTATGCTACTGGGAAGCCTGACTTGCGTATAAGTCAGACTTCTTAGTTTTGAAATAAGTGGCTTCTTTCTCTATATGCTTTCAAGTTCTTTTTAGAAAGCTTTTTTCCTTGAATTTTGCAGATTACAATGAATGCACCGAATAAAACGGTAGAACTACAGCTGCAAATGAAACAAAATGCTGAAGAGCTGCAGGATTTTGTGAGAGAATTGGAGAGCTGGGAAAAAGATATTAAAGAAGTGGATTCTGAACTAAGGAAACAGAGTGGGGTCCCAGAAGAGGTAAAAATCACAAGACCAGTGTCAATTTAGCTATTCATAATGTGATAGTGTTTATAATAATTACATGTTACTTTAGCAAAATTACATTTGTTGACTTAAAGTATCTGAATAGAAGGTGTGAACTAACCCAGCTGACTTATTCTTTATCTGAAGTAGACCAAAGATTCCTCTGTAAACTGTTCCACCAACAGAACTGTGGGGTAGTAGCCTCTGGAGGTGATGAGGCCAGTAAATTTTTAGTCAGTTTGGGGTAGATTTAGGAGAATATTTCTGTTCGCAGCATCAGTATCACTTATTTACTGCTGAATTTTAATATACTGAAATTATTCTTCAGTTATACTCTGCATGTATGCTATGTATTGAAAGATTTATACTTGTTCTTAGTGGTTTTGTGGAGTTCATGAGAACAGCTTGCTGGATGGATTTCTAAAATAAAACTAGTCAGTGGATACGCACTGGATGTATCTAGATATAGGTACTATAGATTCTTCAATGCGAGTGACTTTCACACATCTGTTTTATATTAAATTACTTCATTTAGAATTTACCACCAATTCGAAACAAGGCTTTTAAGAAAAAGAAGAAAAGCAAAAGTAACGTCCCTTCAAAGATAACGTCTGAAGAAAACAAGAAAAACAAGATTAAGTCCTATGATTATGAAGCATGGGGAAAACTTGATGTGGTGAGTCAGAATATTTGCTTTGTTACCTGAATCTTGTCCTCAGCTGATTCTGTGTTAAATAAAATTTTATTAGAGTACTGAGAGTTCAGTCTACAAGATGGTCTCTTACTGTGCTGGATACTGTATAAACATAAAATAGCTTTCTCCCAAAAAGGTTATGTGTTTAGTATTTGGAATATTGATAAATACTTGGTTTTCTATTGACTGTGCTTTTATCCAGCAGATTGAATTTGAGTTTAAGGAAAAAAAATCTGTGTTAACAATAGGTCTATGAAAAAGTCATAATTCTACTAGAATTTAAGACTAAACACAGCTGCTAGTATTAAAGGATAGTTCTCTCACTTTTGAAATGTGAAATACTACTTAGTAGAGAGGAGTAAAGATTTTTGAAAACACATATATAATTTTCTGAAAGCCTTACTTTTATTATTTTACACTGTTGAATTATGATGAAGGTAATAGGTGGTTTGGGTTTTTTTCTGATTTCAGGATAAAATACTCGAAGAACTCGATAAAGAAGATAGTACTCATGATTCTGTATCTCCAGAATCAGACTCTGAAGAAGATGGAATTCGTATAGATGCAGAAAAGGCTCTTGCAGAGAAGGAAAAGGTTATAGCATTATAGATATGTGTTATTGGCAAAGTAGCAATTTAGATGTAGGAGCATTTGTAGTTTGTTTTAAAGATCGTCCACTGAGACCACACATCTGGTAGAAGAATTTCCTATCTGGAAGTTTTTATGTCTCTTTTCCTGCCTATTCCTAAATAGAAAATTCTCACTGCAATTCTGTTTCTTCTCATCACAAATAGCAGCAAGTTTGTCAGATTCTGCTTAATAGTTGCTTATGATGATAAATGGGTTGGTGATTTTTTGCTTTGAGAAGTTGAATTGCTGTATAGAATTGCCATATAGATCAAACAGTTTTTTACCTGAACAAAACATCTGAATGCCCCAAACTAAGTCCCCAAGGATTTAGAGACAGTCCATTTGTGAGGCCAGTACTCAATTATTTGTATGAACTTGTATGTCTCCTCTGCCTTGGTAATGTCAAGTTTGTACCAGTTCCATTTTACCTAATAAGGTGGGATACAGAGAGAGATCTATCTCATGATTCATTGGCATGAGGAATAGGCTAAGTTGTGCAGCAACTTGTGTGGTTTTGAGAAAGTTCTTTGTTTTTAAGCAATTACCTAGCCCATCTGTCAGTGCATGCTTTACTTCATAAGAGTTTTAGTTTTGGTTTGGGTTTTTTGTAAGTTTTTTGGGGGTTTTTTGGGGTTTTTTTGGGTTCTACTGTGGAAATTCCTAAATGTGTAATCTGCAGTCTATGCTGAGCAATTGAGGTGTCATTGCCATTATCATCTTGACTGCAGTGAAGTACTTGAGGGTACAAGAGATAAAAGTTGTGTCCCAAAGGAGGGAGAAATTACAATAATTACCTTGGAAAGCAGAGGTGCCTAATCTAGTTACTAAAAACTTTTAAAAAATTAATTCAGTCTTTAAGCAGCTGTGTATGTGCTTGTCACAGGTTTCTGGAAATGACCTACAGATACTCAAAATCAATATTTTATAAAACCATGTTGTAGGATATATCATGAGAACTATTTAATATGTGGGATACTTAGAATATATTAGTTTAAAAACAGATTTCACAGTAAAATAGTACTTCTTGAGAAATGTTGAACAAAAACGATTAAGCATTCTAAAATACAAAATTTGATTTTTCTATTTTTCTTTCACCAAAAATTAGCAACGTTTCTCCCAATGTAAAGTAACTTACTGAAAAGGCTTTTTTCTGTTTGCAGGGTAATAACTACTTTAAACAAGGAAACTTTGATGAAGCTATAAAATGCTATACTAGAGGGATGCATTCTGATCCATACAATCCAGTATTGCCCACAAACAGA